ATTCTTGAATTACCCTGTTCATAGACAACAAGGTTGTTGTAAGAACAGTAACATATAGAGGAAGTTGCCCATGGCAAAAGGATGTAGCGAGATTTCTCTGGGAATTTTGTACAAGCAATGATATATGAATTTACAAAGTAAGATGGATACCAAGCAAAATGAACACTGCAGACTACCTTTCGAGAATATGAGACACAAGCGATTGGAGATTGGATAATTAAGTTTTTATGAAATTGGAAGCAAAATGGTGGCCAGTAACAATAGACCGATTTGCAAGCTACTTAAACACCAAAAAGAAATGTTTCAACAGTTATCATTTTTGTCCTGGTTCCGAGGCAGTTGATTGTTTTACACAGAGGTGGGAAACAGAAGTGAACTATGCATGCCCACCTTTTGACTTGATTCATCGAGTACTTACACACAGTCACGAATGCAAAGTCCAGGTTCTATTAATTTGCCCAGCATAGGTGTCAACTCCTTGGTGGCCCATGTTTCTCGAGGCACCAAAGGAGGTTGTGGAACTACCACCAGCAGAAAAAATAATCCTTCCAGGACCATCAGGTCAAAGAGAACCATGCAGGAACCCAGCCTAGAAGTTGCTAGCAGCCAAAATAAAATGGTAAATATGTAAGTCAAATGGGCAAATGAGTTGGCTGACTTGGCAATAAATAAAAATTATAGACTTAGATTGCTTAGAGCACAATATATTTTTGAGGGATTTTGTAGCTGGGTAAGAGAATCAGCTTGTCCAGCTAGTACAAATACAGTTAAAACCTTTTTAGGATAGTTGGAAATGGTGGAAAAATTGGCACTTGTCCAAGATTGTCTTGAAACTATAATAAGAATGCATAAAGAGAGAGGTGTTTAAAATCCAGTAGAAAGTTTTAAGACAAAAGAAGTGGCTAGAGGAATTAAAATGATAAGAGCACAAGACCGGAATGTAAACTGGCCTCGGGATTCTTTTCCACTTGAGGCTTTAAGACAATATCATGATAACCCACCAGAAAATATAGATCCAGTGATATGGTGTAAAGATTTAGTTATAGTGGCATTAGGGTTTTGTACAATGTGTAAACCAGGAGTGTTGTGTAAATTGCAACTAATGGATGTTAAAAAAGAATCAAATATAATATGGATTAGGGTAAGAAAGTCAAAAAATGATCCTTTTGCAAATGGAAAGTTTATACCAATAGAGGCAACAAGTAGTAGAATTTGTCTAGTAAGGTTGTTAAAAAAGTACTTAAGAGTAAGACCAGAAACTTTGAATGATAAGCCTCTGTTCTTATCAAACAAAAAAGGTGAGATGTCCATAGCAGTAATTTCTGCAGTTATAAAGCGTATGGTAAGAAATGCTAAGATGGAGAGGCACTTTACAGCTCATAGTCTAAGAATAGGAGGGATGACAGCTGCAATGAAAGGAGGATTGTCTTTGATGCAAATAAGAACCATTGGTGGATGGGATTATAGAGCTGTTATGCTATATTTAAGAGCAGTTAAGACAACAAATGAGAAGACATCATCTAAAATGGGATTTTAAAAATCTATATAAGTAACTAACTAGGAGTTATATACTCTGTGCACTTGTAGTAAGGAAGAAAAGTAAATAAATAAATCGATCCTCTTAATAATCCCGTATTGTGTATTTTATGTTGTATACTAGGACACTTAGGATCAAGTAACAAATGAGATGCCGTGGACAAAGTCACGAGGCATCTATTTGTCACGAGATCACAGATCACACATGATACAACCAACAATTGCCAGTTATAGTAAGTATGCGAAAGAAGAATTAGTAAAGTAATATTGACATAAATATGAAGTAATGGGAAAAATGTATGTGTATGTAAGTATTATGTCAGGCAATAATAGTTATTTAGAGTGGATAGTATTACGTATTAGACCCTCCTTTTTTGTCTTTGCTGCTAGCTCGACGAAAGTCTAACTTTGTAGTAACTTCCCACCCACCCATCACTAGAAGTTTAGTAATCATAGTGAGTTATGATAGCTCGACCAAGCAGGTCGGATAGCATTTATAAATTTGATAGCCCGACTCAACAAGTCGGATATCAAGCAGGCATATTAACTATTGGTAAAGGAAAATCAATATAAGTAATTAGTAAAGAAACTAAAGCGATTCTATAGAAATGTTGTCGTTAGCCATATGAGCAGCAGGAAATCCCGTATTGTGTATTTCATGTTGTATACTAGGTAGAGGCCTGCGTTGGGTCCTGCAGCCTGGCCCAGCCTGGCCCGGCCCACAAATTTTTGCGGGCCGGGCCAGGCCGAAAAATTTGCAAAACTTTATGATTGTGGGCCAGTGCGGGCCTGAAAATTTGTAAAATTATATAAGAAATTTTTGCGGGCCGAGCCGGGCTGAAGAAAAAATTTAACATATGCGAGCCAGGCCGGGTCGGCAAAAAAATAATAACCCTAAATGCGGGCCAGGCCGGGCCTAAAAAAAATTTTTAACCCTAATTGCGGGCCGGGCCGGGCCTTAAAAATAGGCAATTTGCAGGCCCCT